TTTTTAATAATAATATTGAATAGATAAATAATATGCATAGAAGAATACATATTACATAAACCATTTTACGCATCAAAATTTAAGAAAATTTTCAAGCTCAGTGAAAATTCTCAAGAATTTGATATAGAATTTTGAAAAAATGTGTTAGAATTTGTTCAACTGGAGCTTCGGTTGCTCTTTCATAAAGAAATCAATCGGTAGATAAAGAAATCTATGATATATATTTTTGTTTTCAAAATATTTTATATTTTTCAAGTCAACATTAAAAACACATGAGCTTGAAAGTTTTCGAAATAACGTTTGTCATGCAAAATGTGTATACAAACTTGCATACATACATTATTCACACACACATACATATATATTTTCATACATATGGATATATGTATGTACTTACACACATGCATATATATACATACATATATCTAAATGATTAAGTAGTATGTATTTCTCTCAGCTTAGCTTTTAGAAATTCCATTTGGCACATTTTCACCAATTTGACATACATACATATGTATGTATGTACATACATAGCTCTGAAAGTACGCCTTATCTTGTATTCGCATATACATCCACACATACATATGTATGTGCATGTACATACGTCTATATTCACCATATAACTGTCATATATCGAAGTACACTATCGTAATTGCCGTGGACGGGATACAGTGCTCAACGTCATTTAACGCTCGGCTCCAGAGATAAAATTGAATCAATGCGTTGGCGTTGAAGCGTTTTTATAAAAACAATTTACTCTCAATATGTACGTACATGTGTATGTATGTGTGTGCGCATTATATAGATACATATGTATGTGCATACCTCGATAAGCCGCATAATAAACACCATGCACTGGTGTTTGTGGGCTTGTCCCACCTATTTCTAACCGCATTGCAAACTAATGCGCAATTTGCTTGTTAAGTTGCCCGTGACTCGAAGCTGACCGCTGCTGCAGCAGGTGCTGCAACGGAATTGATTTAACGGCTTCATGAGCTTTTTGCTTGTGCTTTGCCCAGGCATGCATAACATCCCATACGCTCACATGCACACGCGCTCGCACACACACACACACGCACACTTACTCACATACATACAAACAAACAAGCTGCGCACAGGATCTGGCTATACGTCCTCATCCGTGGGAAAGCTGCCTACGTGAGACGCAGCACGTTTGACTTTTGACACGGCGCGGGGTGGCAACCCCGCCCATCATCCAACCAGTGTTCAATCGTGTGTCGACATGTCGATTCATCAAATCGTTAAATCGTTTGAGCGTCAGCCGAAACTGCGAGACTGCTCTCTACTCTGCTTAGGCGAGCGTTCTCTCTCTCTCTCTCTCGCCTCTCTCTGTCGCTGGCTCTCTTAAACGTTTCGTGTGTGGTGAGTTTCGTTAGCCCCAACAATTCAACACGCTTGACGTCGTGGGCACAGCTCAGGATATGCTGCTGCTGCAGCATGGATTTTCATGACTTTGACTTGATGGCTCCCTGAGCCCAGGGGCCGGTGCTCGGGATTTGGGTCATGCTCGTATGACTAAGCACATTTTGGTGGGTGGTGAAACCGTTCCAAGGCCACAGAATCGAGTAGCCTCAAGTAGAATGCCCCAGAATACATACGTGGCACATGCCTGCAGCGCCGTTTTAGTTAATGGACAGTCCTTCATAATTCATATTCGAAGCCATTGACCAGTAGGGACCCCAGCTCACGTGGCGACTTGGCGTCAAATTATTTATGCAACTAAAAATCATTTTCGAATTGAAAATTTATATATTTTTCAGGCAGAATCAGGCATAGATATAATCAGATATAATAGTTAAAGACGCCATAATGCGTATTAAGCTTAATGCATTTGATCGATAACTCTATATAGCACTGATAAATTATCGATTTCAATAGCAGAGTTTTCGATCATATCTCGTGGGTTATAGAAACTAGTTCCATTACAGTTGGTTCTATCTTTATCTTTATATCTCGAATAACGAGAAAAGAAACGGAGAAAACAGAGAAAACCACATATTTTGTAAATGTTTGTAATTGATACGCAGCTTACAGGGTATTGCCTAGTCGTGTTTTCAAGAATATTTTGAACTCTATTTTATCTCGAAACTAATTAGATTGGAATAATATTCCAATAAAATTCCCTTAACTAAAGACCTTCTCCTAATGCATTTAATCGAAAGCTAATCGCATTTATTTGGATTCCTTGCATTTATAGATTGTGGCGCGGCGTCATGACCTGAAGCTGATTGTGACCTCTGCGACAATGGACTCGAGCAAGTTTGCGACATTTTTCGGGAACGTGCCGACATTTACCATACCGGGACGCACATTTCCGGTGGATGTGATGTTTAGCAAGAACGCGTGCGAGGATTATGTGGAATCGGCTGTTAAGCAGGCGCTGCAGGTGCATCTGACGCCGAACGAGGGCGATATGCTGATCTTTATGCCCGGCCAGGAGGATATCGAGGTCACCTGCGAGGTGCTCGAAGAACGCCTCAGCGAGATAGACAATGCGCCCGAGCTGAGCATATTGCCCATCTACTCGCAGCTGCCCTCCGATCTGCAGGCGAAGATCTTTCATAAGTCCGCCGACGGCGTACGCAAATGCGTGGTGGCCACCAACATTGCGGAGACGTCGCTCACAGTCGACGGCATCATCTACGTGATAGACACCGGCTACTGCAAGCTGAAGGTCTACAATCCGCGCATCGGCATGGACGCCCTGCAGATCTATCCGATCTCCCAGGCGAATGCCAATCAGCGTTCGGGTCGTGCCGGTCGCACGGGTCCCGGCCAGGCGTTCCGCCTCTACACGCAGCGCCAATACAAGGATGAGCTGCTCGCGCTCACCGTGCCCGAAATACAGCGCACCAATCTGGCCAATACGGTGCTGCTGCTCAAATCTCTGGGCGTGGTCGATCTGCTGCAATTCCACTTCATGGACCCACCGCCACAGGACAACATCCTCAACTCGCTGTACCAGCTGTGGATATTGGGCGCATTGGATCACACCGGCGCCCTAACCACGCTGGGCAGGCAAATGGCCGAGTTTCCGCTGGATCCGCCTCAGTGCCAGATGCTCATCGTTGCCTGCCAAATGGAGTGCAGCGCCGAGGTGCTTATCATAGGTGAGTCATCTATACATACATATACATACTTACATATATATTGATTGATTGATTGATTGATTGATTGATTGACTGACTTATTGGCATTACGCTGCTTTTATAAATTCCACCCGCATTTGTGGAAAATTGATGGAAAGCGGTTTTATTAAACTTTTCGTTAATCAGCCTTTTTTTTTGTGTGACAGCATTTGAATCTGATATACTGATATACCATTAACGCATCATCCAAAATAATACCCTCTAGAGCACCATTAACAGCCGAGTTGATATAGCCTATTCGGATCGGACCACTATATCATATAGCTGCCATAGAAAAGATCGGTCGAAAAGTAGGATCTTGTATGGAAAACTCTATTGTTTATTAAGATACATATCTTGACCGTGTTTACGAGCTCCTCTATTCTCGCATATCTACAAAATCGTAATTTTACATAAAAGGATTTCTATAATAGCCACTTGCAACTCAAAAACAACGTGAAATTTCCTCTTAATTTTTGAATACATTTTAATATACATACATATGTATGTATGTATGTAGGATGCATTACATTGCGATTAGTTAAAAGTCTCTCTAAATTCTCCATTCCAATTGCACAAACGAGAAACGAATTGAAGAGGAATACGCGATCACACGAACACACGCACACACGCTCACACGCACACACGAACACACGCACACACGAACACACGCACACAGTCACAACACAAATAAGAACATTCGATGTTATCCGTTATTCTTTTTAGAACATTGCGTTAATTTTTATTATTTTGAAGAGAGGCAGAGAAACAAAATGAATTGTCTACTAACTGTAAAACGGGAGACCAGTGGATAGGAGAGGAGAGGCGAAATTGGTTAAGGCATTGCAAAATGAAAAACAAATATACCCTGTTGACTCTCTTGCAGTGCGTACAGGGTATATGTACATATGTACAAATGCTGACCTAACTGGAAATTTCCATTTGGAACCCCGCATCTTGTGTTTTCTTTACTGTTAATCAGGTTTTTCTTTGATTTTACAGTATCCATGCTGTCCGTGCCATCCATATTCTATAGGCCCAAGGGGCGCGAGGAGGAGGCGGATGGTGTACGCGAAAAGTTCCAGGTGCCCGAATCGGATCATCTAACCTATCTGAATGTCTACCTGCAGTGGAAGCAGAACAGGTGAGTCAACTCTTGTGAGAAAAACAGCAGCATGAGATGCTTTATTACAACTCCTTCAATGTTTATCCCACTCTCCGAATCGCTTTGATCCTGCAGCTATAGCTCCACGTGGTGCAATGAGCACTTCATACACATCAAGGCGATGCGCAAGGTGCGCGAGGTGCGTCAGCAGCTGAAGGACATTATGACGCAGCAGAAAATGAACGTGAAGTCCTGCGGCACCGACTGGGACATTGTGCGCAAGTGCATCTGCTCCGCCTATTTCTACCAGGCCGCACGCCTGAAGGGCATCGGCGAGTACGTGAATCTGCGCACGGGCATGCCCTGCCATTTGCATCCGACGTCGGCGCTCTATGGCCTGGGCACCACGCCCGACTATGTGGTCTACCATGAGCTCATCATGACCGCCAAGGAGTATATGCAGTGTGCCACGGCTGTCGATGGCTACTGGCTGGCCGAGCTGGGGCCCATGTTCTTTTCGGTAAAGGAGACCGGACGCAGCGGCCGCGACAAAAAGAAATTGGCCGCCGAGCATCTAAAGGAAATGGAGGAGCAGATGTTGCAGGCCCAGCACGAGATGGAGGAGCGTAAACAACAGGCGGCACAGCGCGAGGAGCAGCTGGCGGGCAAACAGGAAATCGCCACGCCGGGCAACGCAACACCACGCCGTACTCCGGCACGCATCGGCCTCTAGCCTGACCCTCGTGTGTATTTCAATGTGTGTGTTTATTTTCTATTCTCGCTATACATAATAATAAATTGGCCAAAAAATGAGCATGGAGAGTGGCGCGAATAGTTTATATCGCGGATTAGCCGCGGATGTGTCCAGCACGCAACGCTGATTGTCCACAACACGAAATTCGGCCCGACATTGGCACTCGCCCCTCAAACACTGCATCCGGGAGTCTTGCACCCGACTCTCCACATCCGGCTGATGCTGCTGGCAGTCCTCCGTGCGGCGACAGTATGCGCCGTATGGCACAAGGGGCTCACAAACGGCGCTCTTCCGATTCTGATCGTTTTTCAGGTAGTGCTTGATCCGGCAGGTGCAGCGATTGTCGCGGCAGGTGCTGCCGGCGCCGAGCTGCAGCTGGCATTGGGCGGGAGTCGTACAATTGCTGTCAAGTCCAACGCCCGTCACGCAGCCGGTCATATTATGATTGGGCACATAATCCGGAATGCAGGCGCACTTCATGGCCTGCGGCAGGCAAATCGAAGCGCCAATGTGGTCGCAATGCGTATTGTTGTTGCAACTCAGATCTGTACATGCACATGTTGGACGTTAATGTGGTTAGTTTTACTTGAAGGATAGACACTCACCCAGGAGCGCCAGGCACCTGCCCTGTTGCTGCTCAAAGTGATCCCTGCATATGCAGCGCTTTTGCGACAATTGGCAGACGGCAAACGTGTCCGCCCGCTGGCATTGGCGCGACAGCTCACAGGCTCCGTCCAGGGGCACCTGGAGCGGCAGGCAGCGGCGTCTATCCTCGCTGGCCATGTAGTTGTCGGCACAGAAACACTGCTGCATCTTTGTATCGCATTCGGCATGCGGCTGGGTGCAGGGACACGGACCGCCAATTATGTTGGTCAACTTTTTGTCCTTGGGCTGGCAGGCGATGCGCTCCTTGCTGCCACGTGCTACGCACACGCAGCTCGAATCATGGCAATGGCCACCCTCGAATTGTTGGCATTGCGCGTTCGTTATGCAGCCCAGCTCGAGCAGATCTTCGGCTGAGTTTGCGTTCAGCGAACAAAGTGCGAACAACAAAATCAGGTTTAATTGCATTATTAGCCTATCTTTTGCCGTTATCCAGACAGAGTCAAGTGTCGCTAACCGTCGCTAGCCCTAAAGAAAAAATAATAAGTCCCGTTTCCCGTTGGTTCAGGCAGCTAGAACAAGAGATCGTCTCCTTTTTGGATTTGCGCCATAGTGATCGAAAATGTATCGATAGATCGCATATTTGCTAATTGGCCGTCTTTATGGCACTTGCCAACACTGAAATCATCGATAAAATTCAGACATCGATGCTTACCCACATACAACCCTAGTTGTGCAAAGAACTTTATAAAGCAAAGTAATCATCCGCAGCAACACAGTTAAATTTTCGTAAATAACTAAAAAACTTGTTAGTTTCGGGTTAAAATAAATTAAAAATATAAAAGAAAACTTCAACAAAATGGTACGACGTGGACGTTCTGCTAGCCCCCCACCATCAGCCAGACGGTAAGTGGCGTGCTATAATGCACCTGTAAACGTAAGAAAATCCAATTGGACAAAAAGTGCAAGAGACATAAAACAACGTGTTTTTCCTAACTGCAACGCAACTGTTGCAACAAACTGCGATGTGTTGCACAATTATGTGCGCCTTTGTCAATGCGAATGTGATTTGTCAAAATTTAAGGCGACGTCTGGAAGTTTCCGTGGCACAAGGCGTTACGTAACCCTTAAACAGATAAACACGGAAACGGACACTATGCAACGAGCAAAGTTCAAACGCGTAGCAACAGAAACAACAACAGCAACAAGAACGAAAGTGTGTATATATCTGATTTGTGTTCATTTTGCTTTACAGCAGCGCACCGCCGCAGGCTCGCGCCGCCCCACCACCACAGGCACAAGTGCCCGCACGGGCCGCGCCACCACCAGCGGCACCCATGGCCGCCGCGCCACCCAGCGCCGTTGGCATGCCGGCACCACAGCAGCCGTCGATGTTCCAGCAAATGGCTGCCACCGCCGGAGGCGTTGCCGTTGGCTCGGCGATTGGCCACACCGTCGGCCATGGATTGACGTCCATGTTCAGCGGCTCTGGCGATAAGGAGGCCGCAGCGCCAGCCGCTGCCGCGCCAGCTCCACAACAACAGCAGCAGCAGCCATACTATGCGCAGCCGGCACAGGGTGCCAATGAGCCACAGGGTGCATGCGCCTGGGAAATTAAACAGTTCCTGCAATGCGCCCAAGGTCAGTCCGATCTGTCGCTGTGCGAGGGCTTCAATGAGGCGCTGCGACAGTGCAAGGTGCAGCATCATCTCCAATAAATGACAACATCATCAACAACAACAACTAGAAAAACGAACACAAAAAACAACACAAATTATCTTCTCATCGATTGATGGCGAAAATGTTGAGCTGACGTTGTTTTTTCTTTCCTTTCCTTGGTTTTTTGTTTGTTTCAATTAGTTTTACATATGGATATTGTTAATCAGACGGCAAATTGTTTAATTTAGTCAATTGTTCAATAGAAATGCGTGCAACGGCGTTCGCCAGCCCAACTCCTTGGCAAAAAACAAAAAAAAAAAACAAAAAAAAACACCGCTGGCGGCGTCCTTGGCCACAACAAAAAGAAAATTTCCTTGTTTTTTTTTTGTTACCTTAAAATTTCCCTTTTTGCAGCATAGTAAATTTCATGTTTTTTCCCTCTATTATTGTCGTAAATTTTGCATCGAATTGTGAAATGTTCTGTTCGCTGGGCGGCTGCCAAAAAGTGCGGAACACGTGAGCGCTGAGAATGGATGAGCTTGCACTTTGACGACGCACTGCGTCCCGAAATAGTTGCCCTGATTCATGCTGCAGCAGGGGAAGGGATGAGGAAGGGGTGCTGCTGCAAACATCGCGTGCGACACTTTGTTTTTGTTATTGTTTTCATTTGATTTGCTGCTGCGCCAATTAATGCTTGTTTTGGTGAAATGGTGTGACCAGGCGAGGTAAACAAAGGAATCAATTTTGATAAACATGTTTACCAGGAGTGTAGGTGTGTGTGTGTGTGTGTGTGTGTGCGATTAGTCACAGTACACAATCTATCTCTCTCTCTCTCTCTGTCTGTGCCTTTCTAGCATTTTGAATTGCATTTGAAATATGAGGAAAATAAGTGTAATTTTTGCAGGAATTTCTCAGAAACATCTATGGGCATTTCATGGATATAGTTGTTGAAAATTAATCCAATTGGTTTCTAGGTTTTATAGCTACATTTTTGTACAATTGCAAAAAAATGAAATTCCCCACGCAAGTGTGGAAAATTCGCGAAAAACTTTTGTAAGAATTTCCAGATGGAGGTAAACTCACATTCAGAGATATTTTAAACGGGAAAGAAGCTTTATCTTCGGCAAGCCGAAATTTAAGATGCATATATTATATATGTGATATAGATACATATGTATATATGTGAATCAAGTGCTCTATAGGAAGAATCGGAAATGAGCAAATGAAATATTTCTATAAAATGTATGTGAAGTTCCAGCTACAAGCTCTACATTCTTTTAAGTGAAGAGTAAAGTCCAGGCAATTTTCGATTTAACGCTTATATTATCTTATATACAATTGAACGTTTGGCACATAGAATTTCGTAAAACATTTGTATAACATATGAAATAGTGTAAATTTGTTAGTTAACCAGAATTTATAGCAAGTGTTGTTGAAAATGACGAAATTGATGTTGTCTATCCGTTATGCACGATTGTTATTCTAAACAAAATAGTTTCGCCTATAACTTCCGATTCTAATTATTTGTTTTTTGCCAGTACTTTAGTTACCGTCCTCGTCCTCTTCCTCGTCGTCTTCGTCCTGGTCGGCCCTCAAGAGTATGTTCAGCTTGTTCTCCAATATGGCTTTGGCCCGATACGCAGCCGATTGGCTCATAAATATGGCGCGCCGATTAACGGTCGGCGACTGACTGATGTTCCTGATGATCGGATGCCTATATAGCTGTGGGCTCTCCAGCTGCTTCTCGAATCGCCTGTTGTGCAAATTTCTGCGTCCCTCCACGCTGGTCGTGACCAGCTTAAAGAGCGGCGAAATCTTATTGAACGTAATGCTGTCGCCCTGTTGCCGCGACGGCGGCTTCTTGTTGTCCAGCAGATCGCCCAGCAGGGTGTTCAGATTCTCCCGTTCCGGGCGCTTGCTAATCACCGTCGTCATTTGGCTCTTGTTATTGTTTTTGCTCGCAGTTTTGCTTCTGGTTGAATGCAGCTTGAATGATTTTGGCTTTGTTGACTGCTTGCGGGCAGACTTCTGATATCGGGGCTTCTTTGACCGTGTGCTCTTCTCTGGCAGCGTCATCTTGTACGCCTTAATGCTGGGCAGCACCATTGTGGCCGACTTGGAACTCTGCTTGGGCCCATATTTCTTGCCCATGCGCCCGAATGTGTTTTGCACCTGCGGCTGGCGCGGCACCTTGTAGCCCCTGTACTTTTGTGTTATGGTCAAGCAATCAATGTCCGCCGCCGATGGCACCTTCAGTTTGAGGGGCTGCGCTGTGCGCAATGCCCGCAGGCGGGTCTCGAAGGTCTCCACGTTCTGGGACAGCTCCTTGGACTTTAGCAGCGACAATGCTGGCGGTCGTAGCCTGTTCATCAACGGATGCTTGGCCATCAGATACTGCACACTGCTCGAACGTCTCAGTGCGAAATCCTTTTGTGCCTCTCGACGTTTGGCCACTGAGTCAGCCTCGCAACGCAGTGGCAGGAATGGCGCCAGGCGGCGGTGTTCGTTTGGCTTGGGCCCGATTGAGACGCTGCGGAATGTCTCGGCTGCGTCTAGGTGATCCTTATTCTCAAAGAAACGCAGTATGGGCACCATGGGACGCTCCTTCGATGGCTGAGCCTTGCCTGGATTTGGCAGCAGCTTTTGCGTCGGCCCCGCGAGACGCGGAACGGGCAGCGGGGGCGACTCCTTGGTCAATTTGGAAGACCTCAAAATGCTGTGCGTTGCGTCGCCATTCTCAATACCTTTCAGCTTGGTGGCTTCCTCCGGCCTAATTAGATGCAGTGTGGGCACCACCGGGCGTTCCGTCAAAGTCTTGGGCCGCTTCGTCGCCTTGGCCCTGTCCAGCCTGTCGCTCATCGTGGCAAAGCTGCGCTGTGCATGCAAACTGGCCCACACGTTCGACGTCGGCATCATCATCGGCGGCTCGATGCCAATGCTCGAACGCTTCTGGGCGAGCGTCTTCGGATAGTGTCGCATTGTCACTGGCAGCCGGGCATGCCCGGCATTTGCCACACTCTGGGCATCGATGGGCTTCTTCTCCAGAAAGTTCAGGCTGGAGCGACGTCGGATCATGGCCACCGACATTTTGCGCATGAGACGGCAGCGGACAGATCTGTACGTTGACAAAATGGCCGAGACGGGTCCCTCGCTAGAGTTTTGGGTATTTATCGTTTTGGACAGGGCGCGTTGCCAAATCTGACAGCGGTTGAGTGCTGCAAAAGGGAACCAGCATATAACAATAAATATACATATATATATATATAGATATATATATTATGATTGGTGGGCAAGCTCACCCCCATTGATGGGCAGCATTCGCAATGAACCAAATCCTGGCAGATTATTCATTTTGTTGTTTGCTTTAAGCTTTATCCACTGGCTCCGATATAAAGCGACTTGTATTTTGGAAGGACTAGACAATTGTCGCAGGTTTTGATAATTATGTGCAAATATATCGCTTTTCCGCTAAGATTGCACAAAAACTATAACGTTTTGCATTCCAGTAAATTCTGTAAATTGCAAACAATGGGTAATTCTTCAATTTGTACGGCGTTTTAATTTTGATAAATGCATGAAAATGTGGAACTTTTTAAATTGAATTTTGTCTGTTGTACTGTTAAAATAATTTTGATATGAATACTGAGAGACTGGAGAATGAAAAGTGATCAGGGCCTACATGACCTCCTTCCATATTAACGCAACTGTCAAAAAGTTGCCCAAAACCGATAACGATAACACGCACCTTCTAACCGATAGCAAGCGCTGCAACAAGTGTCGCATAACGAACCAAAGCATACTTTTTGGCGCCAATTTTGATTTCGAAATTGGGAATGATGGTCACCCTGCAAGATTATGTCCAATACATGTTGCGTGTTAAAATAATGTATAACCTATAATTGATGTGTATTCAAAATGGAGGCTAAGCAACTGTGCAACGAGCAATGCATACTTTATGGCGCCAATTTTGAATTCGAGCTCAAATGCGAATGATGGTCGCCCTGCAGGATTATGCCTAATGCGTTGCTTAATTAAAAATAATGAACAACCTATAATTTGTGTGTTCAAAATGGAGGATAAGCAACTGCAAGCAGTGCAAACTATTTTGGCGCCAAATTCAAAATCGAATTTCTAGCACACTACACAAGCGAAAACAATTCGCGTTTCTAAAGTGACAATTTATATAAATTTATGACGAATCTCGAAACTTGTATAATACAACTAATTGCGGCAGCGATTATAGAAACTTATTGGCACGTTGCAGTACTTGAAGGCGGCGCTCCTCGCTCGTTTGGCTAACATCGAGCAGACGCTCGGTGCGATCCAACAGAGCTGAGCACTCATCGGCAGGTGAACTGAGGCGTTGTCGCTTGATGATCTGCCGCGCTGGCCAGTTTTCAGCCTGTCGTTCCTGGCGATGATACTGCTGGTGCTGGTGCAGATGATGCTGATGCTGCTGTCGGTCGCAGCGTTTCATGGTGCGCTCCATCTTGTCGAGCGGTTCGTTGAGGACGCTTAATGTCTTGCGCTCAAAGCGCTGTTGCTGGCATTTGTCCAGCGCGGCCTGAGCCTGTTGCAGCACTTGCTCAAAGCTAAGCGGCTCCGGTTCAATTGCCTCCGCTTGATACATCTGCTCCTGCTGCTGCTGCTGCTCCCGCTGCTGCTGCTCATCATCCACAAGTGCTGCTCCCGTTGGCTCCTCCGCTGCCTGCCAGTCGAAGTACCAGTGCGACTCGAAGCAACGCTGCATGGTGTGGCGCCTATAGACAACAGCTGCTGGCAGCTTGGCTGCATTGCGGCGCAGCATATGCTGCAGCCGCTCCTTGGCAAAGATCTCCACAATGTCCAGATAGTTGGGGCTGCCGGCGCGCATCTGCAGCTGCAGCGTTTGTATGGCACGCAGTGCCACCGTCTCCACCAGTGACTCCTCCTCGCTTAGCTGGGCATAGTTCAGCAGCCATTCGCAAATGTCCCGCTGCCTGGCCGGCAGCGGCAGCATCTCCGGCAGCTTGGCCTGCTCGAGCAGCTGGACAATCTGTGCACGTTGTTGACGCGTCTGCCAGCCGGTCACAAAGTATTCGAGTCGATTGGGCAACGGTGTCTGCGGCGGCAGCGGCTCCACATAGCAGCGCAGCTCCTGCGGCAGCTGCGGACGATCCTCCAGCTGTTCGCCCGCCACCAGCTGCAGGCGATGCACAGCCTCATTGTACAGCTGGGCACAGTACTGTGGCGACTGGCGACAGCGGCTGCCAATGGTCGCATCCCGTTGCGCCGCATCGCGCAGCCGCTGGAACAGCTCGTCGCCCAAATGACAATGCAGCCATTCGCGCATCTCCGCCTGCTGCAGCGGACCGCGACTGCGATGCGGCTGCTTGGCCAGAAATTGTGCGGCACACTGGAGCAGGGCCACCAGCTGCAGCTTCTGTTTGCCGCGCGCCATTGTCCGGCAGTCGTAGATGCGATAAGCCCGCAGCGTTTCCAGCTGCAGCTGTTGCGCCAGCAGCGTCTGTGGCGTCTCCTGCTGCTGCACGATGAGCGCCACATAGCCGCAGCCGCTGTTGCGCACGAGGCTGTGCAAACGGTGGCGCGCCTCCAGCAGCTGTTTGGCATCCACAAAGCAAACGATGCCATCGGCATTGGCCAGCAGCTGCTTGGAATGCGACTCCGTGCTGCCCTTCAGCTTGTGCACGCACAGCGCCACGCCGTGCGCGAGTCCATTGATGTAGGCTGCGTCGGAGGCGGCGCCGGTGCCTGAGTTTTGAGCAGCGCCCTGCACCGGCTGTTGCAGCAGTCCGCGATCCAATGCATGCTCCATGACGAGTCCCGCACTGCCGTCGGGCAGCGATAGCAACAGCTTGAAATAGTGACGGGCCCCGGGCGTGAAATGTTGCTGCTGTTGGAACGCACGGGCAAGCAGCTCCCACAGGTCGAGCTTGAGCCAGCACTGATCCTCCATGCCCGCCAGCAGCTGGCGATAGTCGCAGGGCTCGCCCTGGCGATAGCGACGCATCAGGCGCAAAGGTTGCTCCGCTGTACGCATGTCCAGCAATCGCTGGCTCGACTCGCCGCCAAAGCTGAGCGGCAGGCACGCAAACAGCGCCTCCTTGCGCTGCTGGACACGTCGATAATTGCGCCAGCGTCGCCAATAGTGACGCATCAGGCCCATTTCATAGTCGGCGCGCAGCAGACTCCGCCTGACCAGCTCAACGATTTGCTCCTTCAGCAGCGTGTCGTACATGTCCAGCGCATGCCGATGTAGACGCCATTCCTCTTGGCACATGGACGCCAGCTGCTGGTCAATTAGCTCGCTAAGCAGCTGCTTGCATTGGGCCTCGCGTGCCACCGCCTGGCGTTCCACTCGCATACGTTGCGCCTCGGCTTCAGCGGCTGCGGCTGCTGCCGCCTGCTGTTCTCGACGCTGTTGCTCCTCCTTGGCCAGTCTCTGTTCGAGCTGGCGCTGGCGTCTCGCGCGTTCCGCCTGCTCCAGCTTGGCCTTTTGCATCTCGAGCAGCTCCAGTTCGCGCTGCTTGGCCGTCGCTATAGCCTGCTGCAGTGCAGCCAGTTTGGCATCATCGGCGGCCTTTTGTTGGCGCTGCTGTTCCGCCACAGCCGCCGCTGCTGCTGCTGATTGCGCCGGCTGCGACGCTGCTCCGGTGGCGGCGGCGGCTGCAAAACTAAAGCCAATGCCGGAACTCTGGCTGGGCTGTGCCCCGAATATATTGCTTGTAAATGCAGCGGCATGTTGTTGGAGCATATCCAGGCTGTAATCCTTGTTGTGGCTCGCCTGCCCTGGCGTCGAAAGCAGCTGTTGTGCTGGATGTGAATGCGCTTGTGGTTGCGGCGGCGGCGTCGTTGATTTGATCTTCGGCGAAACGGGCGCCGAGAAGAGCGGCACCTTGAACAGATTATCCGTTTGTCCTGTGCTCTGCGTGCCGCTTGCGATCTGTGCGTCTGTGTTGCCTGCTGCTACTGCTGTTCCTGCTGTTGATGTTGTTGCTGCTCTCGATTCCTCCTCCAGGTCCACGCTGTTGGGCAGCTGGTCTCTGGCCGTCCAGGCGCTGCTCTTAAGATAGCCCTGCTCGTTGAAGCTGTTGTGCGGCCGATGATTTTTGTACAGCGATTTGGGCGGCAGCGGCTCGCCGCAAATGCATTCGCCAACGCTCTGATGACGCTTCGATTCCACCAGCTGCACCGAAGAGACAGAGAGAGGGAGAGAGGGAGAGAGAGAGAGAGAGAGAGAGTGAAAGATTTGATACCAATTAGAGCGAGAGCAAAGTTTGTCAAAACATGAGGAACATACGGAATAGATCGGACACAAATGGACGCAAATTGAATTTGACTAAGTATATTCACAACATAGACGCAAGGCAATTAAATCTTCGGCATGCCATGCCCGACTCTAGCGTACAGTGAAAGCTCTATTGAACGACGGATTCAGAGCACTCACCTTGAACTGTCTGCTCAGCTTGTAATGCTCCGGCGTGTGAATGCGCGTCAGTTCCACACGGCCCGATTGGTTCACGTTCAGGCCGCAGCACTCGACAAATTCGATGGCCTCCGCATCGCTTGAGAAGAGCAGCATCTGGCGTATAAATCGGACGGGCAGCGAGGAGAACTCATATTTGCGTGGCGCTCGATAGGCCTGCACTATGCGATGCAGGGCGAGAATGCGCAGACGCATGAAGTAGGTGACCAGGATGCAGGCGCTCAGATAGCTTGTTTCCGGTTCGCGCAGCAGCTGAAAGAAGCGCACAAAATTCGTGTCCTGCAGCGCCAAATAGAATTGAATGGCACGCCGTATTTCCGTGCAGTTTTGCAGCTCCACGGGCAGCTGGGCAATGTCCCAGAGAAAGTTGGCATCCGCCAGATTGAGCAGGACAATATAGCCGCGGAATTCAGCCTCGCGCGGACACTGAACACCCTTCAGGCGCAGATCATGGTACATGTATTTAAGTGTTTGCAGGCATTTCGTTAGATTCTCGGCATTGATTTTCGTATCAAAGACGCTGGGATCTTCGGCGACCAGGCGGGCAGCGCAGTGTATGTGAAAGCGTGCGCATTGCTCCACCAGCTTGACGGCGCCCAGAGAGCACAGCTCCTGCTGTGTGATCTCCTTGCGTATGGAGCGTGTGCGATCCCAAACGAAATGAAACCAATCGCCCAGGTTCTCTGTTTGCTCGCTTATATCCATGATTTCGTGCATCAGATAGCTCATAGTCATGTGCAGCGCCTGCTCTGCGCGCAGCTCGTGCGGCAGCGGTGTCTCCTGATCGGCGCTGCTGCGCGAATACTGCTTCAGGGCGAGCTCATGGCAGATCTGCTCATCGGAGCCCGGCTTCAGCTCGTAGAGTGCCACCTGGCGTTGAAATTCGCGCAGCACACGCTCCTTCTCCGGACACATGTCCGGGCAGTGGCCCTGCAGACGCTGTGCATCCGTTGTGCCACGTCGCTGGTTCAGGCGCAACAGTTTATCCCGGGCGTCCAGCACGCGATACTTCTCCTCGCTGGTGTGAGCCGGCTTGCGCATAAGCGCCTCCAGTTCCAGCTTGGCCGCCTTGTATTGCGCGGGTGCACGCTGACGTTCCCGTTCTCGTTCTCGCTCTCGTTCCCGCTCGCGCTCTCGCTCCCGCTCCCTTTCAACATTGCCGCCCGATGGCGTAGCGACGGGTCTGGGCGCGCCAAAGGCACCAGCTGCTTTTGCTGCGCTCGCCACCTTAGTGCCACCATATTCGTTGCGCCAGCCGGCGCTCAGGGCACTCAGCTCGGCCTGCACATCGGGATCGACCCATTCCTCTGTTTTTTGTGCCGGCGCGCTCTCGTTCTCTGCGTAGCTCATCTCGAACTCGTGTCCGTTGTAGACGTTGCCCTCGCGCAGTGCAACGGCTGCCTCAGCTTCGCTGGCATAGCTGACCGTGCAGGTCATCCGTCTGGGCCGCAGCACAAAGTTCACCAGGTTGCCAAAGCGGCTGAAATGCGTGCGCGCCACAAATTTGTCAAGGAAAAGTTCCGGTATGTTGGTGCATCTGAAATTTGCAAGTTGTTAGCCGCACGCAGCTTGCTCTCAAGTACTTACAGCAGTGTCTTGTAGTTGTAGGCTGCGCCAGAGCGAGCTTCCGCCATATCAAAACAAAAAAAAATCAAATAAAAGCAATTAGTAGACGAATATCGTTTTTATATTGGCCAATATGTAAATTCGCAACTAGTTTCGTTTTTACTTGCGGTGGCCAAACAGAATTTTTGTATTTGCCGACTTCGGTCACACTGAATAATTGTTGTTGCCTAGAATATGCATCGTTTGAGTTTTAAAATTATATTCGATAACTTACATAGTCTTGATTGAAATATGGTCACTCAAAATTGCATTGTTACACTGGTCACAAGTTTGCGCGGCAAGATTTTTGATACTTTTATTGTAGCAATTAAAGAGCTCAATTGGCCGCAATAATTATCATTGTGTTATTGGCAACATTACCATTTAAAATGCGATAATACAAACAAGTAAACCCTTACCTCAATTTTGGATTGTAAAATTGAACTTTAAACGTGTATGCAGACGTCCCACATTTATTTGGTAACAGTTGGTAACAATATTAAATTTATGCATTCGATGTGCCAACTATCGTATTTTAAATCGGCATGCGCGATAGTTTGGTGCATCGATAAACCGATGTTGCCAGCCTTCGCTAGTTGTTGTTGGCATTTAACGCGGAGACAGCGTTCGCAGCGCAGCGCGATGTTCAACGCTAAAGAATTTGTTTTTTTTTGTTTTTGTTTTTGAAATAACACGTTAAGAACCACTAAATGATAATTGTGTAGAATCGTATTCGAATCAAGTGCAAATGCAAAACATACATAACTGTAGGTGCAAGCATAACAAAAGAGAAGTTAATTAAAAGCAGAAACGACGCTTACTTACAAAAGCGAAGATAACCACGAAACGACGTTGCGAACGGTGCGACGAAAAATGATCGAACGGAATATGTGTGCCACCAGTTGGTAAAAGAGACAATTTAACTCTTAAATAAAAGCTAAAAGCTGCTAAAAAAAAAAAACGCAAATCAAGCAAACAATTTGTTTTTTTTAATACATTTTTTTGTGAAACAACAAAAGTTGCAATTGCCGTTGCAGTTCGCGGGGTGCAGCTGGTATTTATTGTTGTTGTCTAACGTGTTTTTTTTTATTGTTGTTGCGTTTGGCTACGACGTTTCCGATGATCTTGGCCTGTTGTTTGCCTTATTTTTTGTGTGTGCTGTGTTGTTATTGTAACTCGTTTTGCGCGTGTGATTCATACAACAACAAAAAGCACCAACAACAGTTAACAGAAAATGCAGTGAAATATGCTAAATAAATAAACAAAGCAAAAAGCGTACAACAACTAAAAGAGCGAGAACAGGCCATCCTGCATTGAGAGCGCGAGAGATAAAATACGATAACAAAATAAAACAATACAAAGCGGCGCTCTCACACACACACACACACACACATGTGTGTGCGCACGCACACGCACACGCGATAGTTCTTTCTGTCTGGTGGTAGGTGAACAAAAAAAACCTTTTTTCCCCGTCGTGTGTACAGCTGCTGTCAAGTGCGCAGCCGCAGCCGCAGCCGTAGCAGCGACGCCAAAGTCCTTTAAGCGTGTGTAGTGCAGGCCATCTCGCTCTCACATGTGCCACACTGTCCAGCTAGATGAATAGCAACGCACACATACACACACTCACAGGGAGAATCGTGCGCAGCTGCTGAGGAGCAGATGAAAGGAGAAGATGATGCCAAAGCCAAATGCCAGTAACAGACAACAACAACAACAACGTGCAGACGAGCAAAAAATGTATCTAGATTAATAACAAATACAACAACAAAAGCGACTGCAACTGCATTAATACATTCCCCACACAAGTGCATTATTAATATATTTAATTAAAGTGTTATCGAACGTGTTATCGAAACTATGAAGGTTACCGTTTGTTTCGGCGATATTCGCATTTTGGTGCCTTGCGGCACCGGCGAGCTGCTCGTCCGGGATTTGATCATCGAGGCCACGCGACGCTACAAAAAGGCAGCCGGCAAGGTGAGTAACTTATTCCCTCCCTCCCCTCTCGACAACACACACTTCCCTACGGTTTTCATCCCCCCCTTTGATATTGTACAGCGGAAATGCTACACTTGAGCGTCAGTTGTTTGTAATTACAAAACAAAAAAACAAAAAACCGAACCCAAATGAAGTCGAAAGTGTATGGGCAGTATGTGTGCGTGTGTGTGTGTCCGTGGACATGTAAGTGTTATCGCCCATTTGAAAGATGGTTGAGCAGATCGGAATGTTCGTTTGTCTAGGTAAAATATTTGAATAATGATAAGCGGCGACCCAATAAAAAACGCTCCAAAATTAAGAAGAAAAATTATAAGGCGAAGCCATGGCTTCGTCGATGCGTCGAAGAGTAAATACCCTTTTAGACCAGGGCTGCAAAGTCTTAAGAAGTAGTTAGTTCGGTTCACGTATCTTTTGGGTTAAAGGTCGTGAACAGAATTTTGTACATACTTGAGCCAAGGGGCTGGGTCGAAAAATAGGCAAAAAATGTGTTTAATTTTAAACTAAATCATTTTTGAATAAGTTATCATTTGGTTTGAGGCTCAAATCTAAATTTGAATGTGCAGTTTGAATTGGTTGGCTTCAAATCTGGTTCGCAGCCTTGTTTTTTTTTTTATTATTTCAATAGCTTTTATTAATACAGTGAAAGTTCTTTTAATGGAAATTTTGTTGGTCTCAATTCAATTTCTTACTCTGCGAACCCAATTAGAATAGTTTTATGGCAACAAAAAAATGGTAGAACCCAGGTGAGGGTATATGAAATAAGATGGAAATGTATTTACATACATTTCTTGAAGAAATGATAACAACAACAAACAAAATCAAAAAGACGAACTGAGAGACAAGCCAAGCATAAACGAAGAGCCCAGAATACAAATAAAAAGCATAAAACTAAAGTAAATAAATACCTTTAAAAACCAAAGACAGCGGGCGCAGAGCGCATTGTGAACTCATTTGAACCCGAGAAGAGCAGCTCGTAACTTCTCAACTTCTCAACTTCTTAACTTCTCAGGGGCAGCCAAATTAGGGGCCCAACCTTCTGCCAAAGAAACACGACAGGTACACACGGCGCGCTGTAATGTATGGGTAGCAGAAGAAGAAGACAAATGGTATAGGGTTCTGATTGGGGCAAGGGTTCCGGGCGGCTGCAGGCAGGGCCAGCGCCTTGTAATTAATCAAAAATGCATTCCACTCTAAGACATGAAAAATATATATATGTATGCTCCCAAGGGGAAATCAAATCAATTTTTATTATGCTAATCACAATGATCAACATGATCATGATGATCATGATGATGATGACGATGATGATGATGATGATGATGGCTTTCGAGCTGATTAAGCTATTATACAAATTTGGTGTCTCGGTATTTCCGGTTAATAAATTGTTTTTTCATTTCTTTGTATGCCGAGGAAACATTTTAAATGTACATAACTTTATGTAACAGGCAGAAGGAGTTATCTTCGATGCCAACGATTCCTCATTAGGCCAACAATATTATTCGTTATGGCCATGTTTGCCTGTCTATAAAATTGATCTGAAGCCTTCTCGCATGCCACACGCAGATCGAATTTCATCAAAGTTAAATCAAGCAGGATTCCAGACCAAGAAAAAAAATAATCTGCGGTTCTTAAGGTTGCCTTTCACATGCCCGATTCAAACTTTGGCTTTTCGACTGCGACAATCTCTTGTATTCATTTTGTGCAACGTGTGAACTTGGCAAATAACTTGCCACACTCTCAATTGTTTTCTAGTCGTTCGCCAAAACTGTGTCAGCTGTAAATGCGAAGCTCTAAAAAAAAAAAAACATAGAAGATAAGACGGCGCTTTCCATTTCGCGATCACGTGTGTGCGAGAGACCGGAGACTGGAGACCAGAGACCCAGACCCAGACCCAGACCCAGACACAGCTCTACGTATATCTATCCGCAGCTCGAGAGCGCTTCGCTTCGCGGCGAACTTGCTAATTATGCAATTTAATGCCTCAACGGCACAGAAATTGCAACATCAACAAAAAAGTAAATAATAAAAAGAACAAGAGCATGAAAAAAAAAAACTTTGGCTCTGATTTCAAATTCTCGCACATAGCATGTTGATACCCGTTGGCAACAGTTTCTCTCCCCCGTTTGCCAGCAACAGATTCAGATTCGGATTTGGATTCGTATTCGTATTCGGATTCGCTTTCGCAGCTGCTATTTTTTTTATATCTGCACACTCGGTATTTGGCCCACACTCCACAAAGATGCGCAACTGATCCAATCCCAGCTGCATTGCAACTGGGCCAATTGTGCTGCGGTTGCAATCAACTTTGGCATGCTGCAAATGCAACTCATTACAAACTCTTGTATTTCGATTTATTACAAAACTGTAAGTAACGAGCTAAGGCAATTAAAATGCTTCAAATTTGAGAGATATTAAGTAAAAACGAAAAGCGAGAAAGTAGGGATGCGAGCCGAGGGCGCGTCGAAGATCTAATACCCTTTGTGAAGCTCGTAAATGCTGACTTTGATAAAAGTCTCTTGGGAAATAGAATATTTTGCCATATAGGAACCAACAATTCGACGGATCTCTCTTCCCGATGTGGATGAGATTTTTCATATAGAGCATAATGAAATGATAAACAAAGAAGTTAATCATTCAAGAACCTTCTTTTCGATCGATCGTTTATATGGCAGCCATATGATATAGTGTTCCGATCCGGCCGGTTCCCACATATGTACTGTCTGCAACTGAAAGACGGACCTATGCAAAGTTTCAGGCCGAACGATTTAAAACTGAGAGACTATTTCGCATAGAAACAGACAGATAGACGGACGGACATGATCAGGAATATATGTACTTTATGGGGTAGGAGATGATTGACTGAACCTTAACCTGAACCATAGGCAAAGTTGTGCTTCATGTGCTTATTATAGATCCTAGACTTTTATCTTTAGTTCAACAAAGAGAAACAGAAAAGTACTCAAAGGCTCCAATACCAATTCTTCCAGCTCCCTCAAAAACTAGCTGGATAGTTTTGTTCTAGACTCAGAAGAGATTGCAATAAACCTTAAAAAGCTGCCATGGAATATATTTTCTGCCCTTCTTTAACCGAAATCCGAGTCCCCTAGAAATATAACTCTCATTGAAGTCCATAGATTAGCATCAAATTGATTTATTGTTTTTTAGATAAATTAAAAGAATATAATATAATATAACTAACTTAAAAAATAATATAAAATGAAAGTATCAACAAAAATTCGTAACTTCAATTAAATTGAAAGGGTATTATGATACATTTGCATATGTCCTAAAACATCGTAAATACATATAATCAAGTTCTACGAGTGTAAACCACATTTGGCCGACTCAAATTGATTATATAATAAATTCGCATGATGTTTAATCAATTTTCTGCCGTCTCCGCGAGCTCAGTTGGAATTGTCTCTGTGCGCTCGGTGGGCGTTTTTCACGCCTTATCGACTTATCGCCGGCGCTCAACTGGGCAGCCGATCAGCCGGGCAACTGGGCGGCCGGAAAACTGTTCAACTGTCCAACTGTCCAACTGGACAACTGGAGAACTGGAGAACTGGCCAACTGGTTGCTGGGCGTGCCATTTGAGTCATTTGTTTTGTTTGTTTTCATTTTTTTGGTTGTTGTTGTTAGTTTTAACTTTGTTTTTGGCACAGGGAACCGTCTGGGGAATCGCTCTGGACGCGAACCGGCAGCTGGAAAAGATTCATTGAGCATTCAGTTGTTGTTTCTGTTGTTGTTGTGAATTCTTTTGGCCACTTCGCAAAAAAAACAAAACCTGTTTTGCGCAATTTGTAAATTATTTCGTCATGGCAACAACAAAAGAAAAAGAAATATGGAAAAAGGGTATTAAAACCAAATACAGTGAGAGCTAAATGTTCAATGGGAACACGCTGGCGACGCTGGCGCAAAAATATTTTTGCCAGTTAAATATTTGAAAATTTGCGCACGCTAATTGTAGCGCATTTAACGTGCGCTCTAATTAGGCCCCACGTTCGATTGGAAAAACTCAACACCTGTTCAACAAAAAACACACACACACACACACTCATTCTAAAAATGAAGATTAACAAATTAGCCAAAATAATAATTATTATAATTATGAAGAAAACAAAACCCGACACTGTTTGTTCTATATTAAACCATAGAGATTGGTCGCTTGCAATGCGGAAAGCTTCAACCAATTCAATTTGTTTTATTTTGCGCTGGAATCGGTCAGATTTATGCCAAGCAAAAGACTGTGAAATAGGGGCATCGTTAGATGGATATAGGATGAAGGGTATAAGATAAGGGATATAGAATATAAGATATGGGAATGAATATAGGATAGGTTGTAAGATATATTATGAGTATATAAAATAGAATATAGGACAACGATGTAGGATATACGATGTACTATATACGATATAGAATATAGGACATATGATATAGGGTAAAGGATATAGGATATACCATATATGGTATACGATATAGAATATAGGTTATGGGATACAGGATATTGAATATAGGATATATGGCATAGAGTATAGGTGCACAAAGTTTGGAGATCGAATCGCCATAAAGATAAAATATATATTTTTAAATGTTAGTTAAATAAATTTGATCTTATGCATTCGAAGTGCGTTTTCTAATATCTAACACTCCCTATGAAGAAATAATTCTGTATCGTGAGATCTACTCAGCTATTTCTCAAGAATTTTTTGGAAGAGTATCGAGCTGGAATTCAACAAATTGTTGCAAGGTGTAGTTGCAGCATTATTGATAATTGGCCAACGGCAACTATAAAAGATAAACAATTTCATGTGCATAACCGGAAATCGAAAACTGGTTTTGCGCACAGCAGCAATGCCCCGCAGTATTCCCCCGCCCCTCCTCCCCGCTCTCCAGCCACGAAGCAGCCAGGCAAATTGAAAAACCAAACTTAAAATATTGTATTAAATATATTTTTATAAAACAACAATAAATATAAT